CTGCTAGTGGGGGTTAAACGCTAGCACATGTCGGCACATGTCGATATGTTATTGATGATCCTGCTAGTGGGGGTTAAACGCTAGCACATGTCGGCTCATGTCGATATGTTATTGATAGAACCGGTTCGTTTCTGTAACCCTGCTAGTGGGGGTTAAACACTAGTAAATTTCTGTCGCCTGCCAATGGGTTGTTATAACACTGGCCATGACTTATAGATGAGACTATTGAACTGAGTTTTCTTTTACATTAACAGTTTGTCAGGAAACGTTTTGTTATTGAACTGAATCTGATTTTGCATTGACGGTTTTGTCATGTTCGTTTTGCTATTGAACCGAATTTGATTTCCGCATTAACGGTTTATCAGTGAAAGTTCTGTTATACTTACATGGTTTATCTGGCATGCTTAAAAGTTTTACCCAAGGGCTATCCATATTTACTTACTGAGTTATCTCATAGTTTTCCTTGTCCACCATTTTAGAAAGCGAAACCGAGGACGGGGAAAACCAAGGGGAGTGACGAGTTAGAAGGCTATAGATTTGAGATGTAGATCGTGATCTTAAGAGTTAGAGTGTATGTGGAGATTTTTGATATCAGAGCAGACTGTAAAGATTTTATCTTGAGATTTTGAGGTATCAGATTGTGATTTGAATAAGTTTCGAGCCTCGTGCACTTGTGGGACCCGTCTCACGAGTGTACGGCATCTGTCGCACCTCGAATTCGGGTTTTGGGGCGTGACATTTTCACTTTCCCTCTATCTGGGAAAAACCCCTCCAAAACACCAACCCCAAAGATCAATTTCCCTCCCAAAGCTACAACTCCAAAGATCAATTTCCCTCCATTCTTGCCTAATCTTTCATGGATTTTTATAATCTCCTTTTTCTAACCCTTTATCTCCTTTCTCATCTTCTCTGCTTATGACTACCACCAGGCGGTGGTAGTCATAACCTTTTTCTCCCTTTTTCCAATTGTGATATACTAATATTAGAAACCCAAAACCTAATCTTGGTTCAAGATTTGATTTCAAGTTCATGAATCACAATTCGTTCTTCTTTGATTACACTTCTAAATTCTAGTTTTGAGACTGTTACAAGAATAGGTTCCATATCTACATTCAAGCTAAAACAAGTAAAATATTCTCAAATTAGGATAATTGTTTTTGTTTAGGATTTCATTAAAAACTATAAATCAAGAAATTTCTAAAATTTATAGTCATCTAATTTAAACCCTTAAATCAAGTTCAAAATTTTGATATTCATTATAATATTAATGAAAAGCCTAAATTATGCTATTAAAGTAATGATGTTTAATTGCTTACTAATATTTATTGAAATTTGGATGCTTCAAATTTGCATGGATTTGTGATAAATTGGTTTGTTCATTCATGGCATGGATATCATGTATTTAAAAGTAAAAACTCAATTACAAAATAGATATATTTTCAACATTTTAAAATGGTTCATGTTATATTTTCAAGCAAAATTATCAAATTTTGACTAAGTCAGAGATGCGTTTGTTAATATTTGGTGAAAACCATAAAACAAAAAATGAAAATAAAAAATGTTGGTACTCAAAAGTCAAAATCAAAAAAATAGGACAACTTTAGTATTGGTATTGACCTTAAAAATAAATACCAAAAATTTTTAATTACTGAAATATCGGTTTCAATAAATACCGAAACCAATATTTACCCACCGCTAAATATCGATTTCAATAAATATCGAAAACGATATTTGCCCACCCTTAATTTGAACGCTGCAATTAGGGCTGGGCATTTTTAAACAGAACCAATGGTTTACTCAAAAATTGAACCAAAAAAATGAATTCGGTTTGATTTTAATGGTTTTTGGTTTTATGTTTTTAGTTTTAGTATTAACTGAATATATTTTGGTTCGGTTTCGATTGAGTCTCTCAAAAATCAAAAACCAAAAATGAGCTATCTAAAAACTAAAATTAAGATAAATATGACAAAATATGATAAAATATGATAAAATATGTGATAAAATATAATATATTATTAGAAAAATAATTGATTATTATTTATTTATCAAAAACCGAAATCGAATCAATTTTAAACCGATTTATTGATAATCAAACCGATCAATTTTTAATAATTTTGGTTCGATTTCTATTATCAAAATTAAAAACAAAATTTTTGATTATTTTAAAACCAATTTCGATTTTAACCAAAAATCGGTTTTGCCCACCCCTAGCTGCCATGTTCAATTATCCATCTATTTCCATTTGAGGTCAAACGCCGCCGTGGCTATCACATCAGACAATTTTCAAAATGCATATATAAATAAAATGTACTTGTAATTTTTTTGTATTTGCAACTGACCCACAAATTGTAAATAGGTTCCCCTATTTTTACTTTTCTTCGCCTAGTGTCTCTCTCCCTGTTTTTTTAATCTTTTCTTCAATTATACTTAAGAGCAATAGACCCTTTTCTTGATTTTTTTTATACGTTTAATAGGTTATGTAGAAGATGATAAATTTTTTTTTTTTTAATTATTGGGTTTATATATTAGTAACTGTAGTCTGTAGGTGTATGTTGATAATGTTGATGTATTTTTGGGTATTTTTTTCTTATAAACTAAAAAATTTCTTGTTAAACGAGTTAGAAATGTGTTTGTCGGGGGAGTAGTGGACTTATGAGAATTTTTTTTTTTTGGTACTATTCTCTTGGTATCTGATAATCACATTAGATCTTGATTAACAGGAATTGAACGAAATCAGACCCTGTTAAGGGAAAGCTTTCTCAGTGCTTATTTTTCCATTCATAAAATTCGAATTTGAGATTTTTTTTTAGAAGAACCAAATTCTTTCTACTCAGATCAATAGGTGGTTGGTTGGACTGATAGGATTATTATTTTGAGATTATTTAGTATAGCGATTTGAAATTAATAATTAATAATTTTATTTAATTTAATAATTAATAATAATTATTAATTTAAATAATTTTATTCTTTAAATTAAATAAAATTATTACTGTTAATTTTAAATTATCATTTCAAACAACTCTTTTTATCAAATATCTTATACTCCCTATTAGACTTGGCAAAAATACACAAAATCTGTCAACTCAACCCTAACCCGACCCGTAAAAAGGGATTAAGCTCTACATATCTTAACTCGTAACCCGTAAATAACCCGTATTATCAACTCGTATGGGTCACGGGTCAAGTTAGAATCAACCCGGGGGTTAACGAGTTGACCCATTTGTTTTATTTTTTATTATTATTTTTAAATATTATACTTATTATTCTTAATTAATTTTCCTATTGTTAACCCCTTCCATTAATTCATACTCCCTAATTTCTAGAGAAAGACAAAGAGATTATGATGAGTATGATCTAATTATCCAAGTATCAATTTTTTTTTTTTTTGGTATTAACAATTATCCAAGTATCATGAATGAAATAATAATGCAACTAAAAATATTAAAAGATATGATGTTAGGACATAAACATAATAATTTAGTGAAAGATGTTCTTGGAAGAGTAATTTCATCATTAAAAAAATGACTTAAACTACTTGATAATATTTCACGATGATTATAAAATTTAAATTTTATTTTCTAAGAAATTTAAATATTTTACGGTTAATATTATTATTGTTAATCAACTTATTATTATTTATAACTTTATGATTTTTTTCTTAATTTAATTGTTTGTGGTTGAGATTATAAAGTACTTAGTTTTAATGAATCACAATGTTTTAATTAGATCTAGATATATATAATTTTATTTGTATATAATAAATTAATAAAAAATAATTATAAAGAATACAAATAAGATTAACCCGAGTTAATCTGTAATCTGTTAGGGTCGGGTTAAAGTTAGACTTTTCCAACCTGTAACCCGTTCATAACTCAACCCGTATAACCCATCACTCGAGTTAACCTAACCCGAACCTGACGCAACCCGCCCATTTGCCAAGTATACTCCCCATAATTAGCGTAAAGAGTGAGAAAACTATGTTACTAATTTTAACGAAATCCCATTTTTTCTTTTAATGAAATCTTGTGATTTACTATAAAGTATTTTAAATAACATATTTAATATCTTTAAATACACTTTATAATAGGTAATGTAAGAATAAAATTTTAAATTACATCTAATAAGATTAATCTCAAAATATACACGATCTAACTCATTAGATGCTGAAAAAACTGACGGCCATCTATGTGATTCATATCTAGTTGTCATCACACCGAAAATCTGTGTTTGACATCATTGATACCTAGGATGGTATCTTTTGCGAGCAGATTTTGTGATATTATTATCAGTTTCCCCTTTTTGTCGTAAGTGGTGAAGAAATATGAATGGTGTGTACACATATATATTGTCCAAGTAATGTTTTTAAATCAAATCTTACATAAATTAAACCTATAATATATTGTACTAGTAATTACTTAATTTTTTTACTAACTTATCAGATTCAAGAGAAGCTTAATTGAGGTCATTTATGTTGAATTACACAGTTTGCATCAAAATCCTGCAATTCTGTCACAATTTGTAACAAACTGATATTTCATGTTACTTTAGGTTACTTTTAGTGATTTTCACGTTTTTTATATTATTTGGGCTGAACATTCTTTTATTTGAGGCCCAATTCGTGGTTACTATGATTAGGGCTTAGGGTGTTAGTTTTCTATTCTGATTAGAATTACTTTTCCCTATTTAAAAAGGCTTGTAACCCTAATTGGGGGTAGCTATTGAATCTGAGTTTTGAGAGACTTTTCTCTTTGGTTCGTTTTAGAACTTTATAGAACTTATCAAGATTATTCTTGTGGCATTTTAACATGACTTATCATTCTCATTCTTAATCATTTGAGGGTGTGGCGTCAACCAACTTTATACCTCTGGTTCTTGTTGCGTCATAAACAACGAGTCAAAGTCTTATTATAAACCTGATTTAGCTTTCTTGGAGTTTAGAAATCCCTTAATGTGCTGTGGGTCTCATTATTCTCTTTGGGGTTTTCATCAAGCAAAATAAGAAAAAGAAGAATTACACTGAATTTTTTTTTTTTTTTTGTTGTTTTTGAAGATAAAAACTGAAAATTAAAGATACGCAAACCTGATTTAGGATCTGATACTTTGATACCAAGATGATGAGAACCCCAAAAAAAATAATGAGACCCACAACACGACAAGGGATTTCTAAACTCCAGGAAAGCCAAATCAAGTTTATAATAGGACCTTGATCCGTTGTTTATGTCGCAACAAGAACCAAAGGTAAAAACCTTGACCTGTTGTCTATGACGCAACAAGAACCAAAGGTATAAAGTTGGTTGACGCTACACCCTTGAACGATTAAGAACAAGAATGACACCACAAGAATAATCTTGATAAGTTCTGTAAAGTTCTGAAACAAACAAAAGAGTAAAGTCTCTCAAAAACTTAGATTCAATAGCTACCCCCAATTAGGGTTACAAGCCCTTTAAATAGGGAAAAGTAATTCTAATCAAAATGTGAAACTAACACCCAAAGTCCTAATCCTAATAACCACAAATTGTGCCTCAAATATGTTCAGGCCAAAATAATACAAAAAACGTGAAAATCACTGAAAGTGCCTAAAGTAACATGAAATATCAATTTGTTACAAATTGCAACAGAATTGCGGGATTTTGACACAAACTATGTAATTTAGCATAAATGACCTCAATTAAGCTTCTCTTGAACCTGAATGATGTTTACCATGCCTTGATAATCATCCAAGCTTTGATTTACTTGTTGCATGTTGTTATCAACCCAGATCTGCTCAATAAGGCCATTTAAAGCTTTTCACATCTTCCTAGTTTTAGCTCTTGTGACTGGACCTCCTGGAATGTGTAATGGATCTATTGACGTGGTACATGTGGGGTCATCTTGATTCCCATCACCTCTTGGAAGCAATTTGGAATGCCTTTGTGCTGGGAATCTTTCCTTCCTCATGTGCAACCAAACCCAATCTCCAGGTTCGAAGACCAGCTTAGAACGCCCCTTGTTGGCTTGCTTTGCATATTGCTCTGTTCTTCACTCAATGTTGAGTCTTGCCTTCTTGTGAATCTGCCTAAAAAAATCAGCTTTCTTTTTGCCATCTAAATTAACATGCTCAGACATCGGTAAAGGAGATAAATCCGCTGGAGTTAACGGATTAAACCCATACACTATTTCAAAGGGTGAAAATTTAGTAGCAAAGTGAACAGTACAATTATAAGCAAATTCAACATGTGGCAAACAATCTTCCCAAGTTTTAATGTTCTTACTAATGATAGCCCTCAACATAGTTGACAAAGTCCTATTTACTACTTCTGTTTGACCATCCGTTTGTGGGTGACAGGTGGTAGAAAACAATAGTTTAGTACCTAGCTTACTCCACAAAGTCTTCCAAAAGTAGCTCAAAAACTTAGCATCTCTATCTGAAACAATTGTTCTAGGCATACCATGTAATCTCACAATCTCCCTAAAGAACAAATTAGCAATATGTGAAGCATCATCCATTTTATGACGTGGGATAAAATGTGCCATCTTAGAGAACCTATCTCACAACCACAAAAATTAAATCTTTTCCATGCCTAGTCCTAGGCAAGCCTAACACAAAGTCCATGGAAATATCAATCCAAGGTTCACTGGTAATAGGTTGTGGCGTATATGCAAACCATGAGGTTGCACTCGGGATTTTGCTTGCCTGCACATGACACATCTACCACAAATCCTCTCGACATCTCTTTTCATGTGTGGCCAAAAGAAGTGTTCCTGCAAAATAGCTAAGGTCTTAGCAACCCCAAAATGTCCCATTAACCCTCCGCTATAGGATTCCCTAACTAGCAAATCACACAAAGAACAATTCGGCACACATAACTTGTTTTCCCGAAACAAGAAACCATCATGCCTATAAAACTTACCAGCTACATTTTTCTCACAAGCTCAAAACTCCTCACAAAAATCTTGGTCTAAAGGATATAATTCTTCGCCCCACTTGAATCCAACGTTCTTCTTGATTACTTTGGTGAGTGGTGCTGTCAAAGTGCTAAAGTCCTTCACAAACTATCAGTAGAAATTGACAAGTCCATGAAAGCTTTGTACTTCACCCATACTTGTGGGACTCGGCCATTCTTGAATTGCTCGGACTTTTTCTTCATCAATCTGTATTCCTTGTGCAGTAACAACAAAATCAAGAACTACGAGCCTATCAGTGCAAAAAGTGCATTTCTTCAAGTTAGCAAATCACTTTTCCTTTCTAAGCACATCCAAAACTGATTTTAAATGCACAACATGTTCTCCGAGTTTTTGCTATAATAGAGAATATCATCAAAATAAACAACAACAAACCTGCCTATGAATGCATGCAAAATATGATTCATCAATCTCATAAATGTGCTTGGTGCATTAGTTAAACCAAAAGGCATGACTAACCACTCATACAGTCCATGTTTTGTCTTAAAGACTGTTTTCCATTCATCTCCCTCTTTCATGCCAATTTGATGATACTCACTTTTCAAATCAATTTTTGAAAATACACAAGCACCATGCAACTCATCTAACATGTCACCTAAGCGAGGAATAGGATGTCGATACTTTACCGTAATGCTGTTGATGGCTCGGCAATCAACGCATATCCTCTAAGTCCCATCCTTCTTAGGCACAAGTAAAATAGAAATAGCACATGGACTCATGCTTTCCCTCACGTACCCCTTATTCACTTACCTGCCTCTGAAGCTCCTTTGTCTCCTCAGGGTTGCTCCTATAGGCTGGTCGGTTTGGAATTATCGCACCAGGTACAAAATCAATTTGATGTTCAATCCCTCATATTGGAGGTAATCCAGGTGGTGTTTCTTTGGGAAATACATCTTCGTAATCCTGCAAAAGAGAGATAACACTACTTGGCAAATTTCCAATAAGATCATCATTGCACAAAAATGCCTCTTTGTATAGAAGTACTATAAAGGGCTGTTGTAAATGTAAAGCTCTCTTAATCTCACTTTTTTTTGCAATGAAACAATGTTGTTCCTCTCTTATACTCACTAAAGCTGAATCTGCTTTCTTTTTTTCCTCTCTCAAGTTTTTTGGCCTTTCTCTCTTTTTCTCTCGAATTTCCACTTCTATCTTTTCTCTCACGCTCTCTTTTTTTGCTCATTATCTTCTTTTTGATCTCTCTTTTTTAAGCCTCACTTAATGCTCATACACCTGTTGGGATGTCAAAGGTACAAGAGTGATTGGACGCTGATTGAGAACAAAAGAGTATTTCTTGGTAAACCCATCATACTTGAATCGTCGATCAAATTGCCATGGTCGTCCTAACAACAAGTGCCCAGCATGCATTGGAACAACATTGCAAAGTACCTCATCTTCGTATTTTTTGATTCGAAATGCAACTAACACTTGTTTGTTTACCTTTACCTTGCCGCTATCATTCAACCATTGCAACTTGTACGGACTAGGGTGTCTCAACGTAGGCAATCCTAATTTTTCCACCATGGTTGTGCTAGCAACATTAGTACAACTACCACCATCAATAATCACACTACATACCTTATCTTTGACATAGCACCTAGTGTGAAAGATGTTCTCTCGTTGCACTTCATTCACGTCTTTTGCTTGCACACTTAAAGCCCTCCTCGCCACCAACAAATCTCCATGTACAGCAAACTCCTCCTCATAGGTGTCCTCCAATGGTGGCATTTCATCGGTGTCAGAATCTTCATCTTTGATCACAATTTCACCATTGTCTTGCATCACCATAACCCGCTTGTTTGGACATTGACTCGCTATGTGACCCCTGCCTTGACATCTAAAGCACTTAATATCATGATTTCGAGTAGTAGAAGTGTCGGTTTTACCTTGAGATTCACGGTTGGTGTTCTCAATCTTATGCCCAAATTGGTGCCTAAGAGTTGAGGACGTTTGTGTCTTGTCCTCCTTTCTGGAAGAACTTGGTTTCCAAGGATTAGATCATTGTTGAATGCATCTTCATAATTGTCATTGAGATCATCATTAGCGTCATTCCTACGCAAATTCAGACTTCCATTCTGTATTTAGTATAAATTGGCTATAGCTGCATGTTGCTTCTCCATTTTGTCTATAATCTCACCAAACATGATGTCCAGTCTTTGAAATTATTGTTGCATTGCTTTGAGCATGAGAGATTCATCCACATGGTGTCTTCCAGTGGTTGATTTGTCATCACCGCTTGACATGATTGAAACCTGCAACGAATGTTAGAAACAGAAGAATAAAAGGACCTCACAATACTCCCTTATGTGTTTCACTTCACTCTCTCACATAATGGCACTCAACACTCGTGTTTTGCTCACTGTAGAACTTGGCTTTTCTCTCAAGTGTTGCTCACACCTCTTGCCTTTTTCCCTCACCCAACTTTCCTCTTTAAGTTTGTTATTGAACTAAACAAGCTCAATTCAAGTTATTTTGCAGCAATCTAACTCCAACAAATCTGCAAGAGTTAAAGGAAATAAAAAGACACAAAGGAACGAACAAGAAATCCAATAAAAGAACCAAACCCAAACAAATTAAAACAAACAGATTAGTTCAAGCACTTCCTGGTAGGAATTGACTTGACTATTCCTTAATGCAGTAGAATTCCTAACTTAGGAAGGAATAAACAAAATTGTTATCTCCTTGTTTGAATAGAACTCAAAGAGAATTTCCAATTCCTTATTGGAGTAGGATTCCTTCTTCTTTAAGGATTGGCCATTGATTTCTTCTCTATATAAGGAATTCCAACCATAGAATTGTGTTGCTTGTTTCTTTCTCCCCCTTTTTTTTTTTTTGCGTCTTTTTTTTTTAGCAATCCTCTTCCCTTTTTTTTATCACTTCTTCCTCTTTTTTTTTTCTTATTTTCGTGCTTTCTCTCTCTCTCTCTCTCTCTCTCTCTCTCTCTCTCTTTGAACCAGCAACACAGATTCAGAAGAGCAAAATAAGAAAAAGAAACCCAGCTACCTAGCTCATCGGAACCGAGCTGATCTGGTGTAATACCCCAAAATTTTGGGGTATTTTAGCATTAAATTGGGGACTTATTTGAAGAAAAATATTATTTTGGGCTTAATCGCAAAATTTTTAAAAGTTGGGGGACCTAAAAAGAAAGGAAATAAGATAAGGATGAGCAGTCTTCCTTTTTCTTTTTATTCTTTCTTCTTTCCTTCCCCATCAGACACGCGTGCCCTGCTCTTCCTCTCCCCCGACCCTCTGCACCCGACGAACTCCCCAGCCACCACCACCCATTTTCCGGCCGGAAATCCGGCAAAGCTTAGGGATTTCTCTCTATTTCCTTGTTTTAGAACACCTGTTGGACCCAGAAAATCCCGAATCTACTCTAGTCTTCTTCCCCTGTCCGCGAGCCGTTTCTGTTGGGTGCGATTCTTGGGCTTTTTTGGTAAGATCTAGCCACGAATCCCTCTCTTTCACTTTGATTTAGGTTGGGTTTACTTTAATTGCTTTATTCCCTTCCAATTTCTGGTAGAGCCATGAGTCCCCTGCAGAGAATTCCCGCCGGCCTCTTTCCCCCTGCAGCTTCGGTTCTTGCTGGAAAATTCTGGTAAGTTGCCGACTTTTCCAAGCTTAAAATTACCCATTTAATTGTTGGGTTTTGTCCATTAAGTGCTGCCCCTGTGCTTGCCTGAATTTTGCTAAAATGGGGGAGGAATTCCAGTAGTATTTTAAATGTGTTTTGTGCTTGGTTTATGTAGAATTAGCTTAATTAGGCTGTTGTGATTGTTTGGAGAGAAAACCCCGTGATTAGCTAGTGTTTTGGCTAATGTTTGGAAGTGGCAGTACTGTTCACGTCGTGAGCACTGTTCAC